TTCTTCCTTCATCTAGGGCCACCATGGGTAACTAAACCTCCTCTAGGGAGGTGATGAAGCTCCATTTTGTAAGCTTTGCTTTGTTTTGATTTATATTTGGGGGTTAATATATGTATGTAATCCTTCCATGAACTAGAGCTCTTTATTTGATGTAATGAACTTCAATACCTATACATAATCATCTTGAGTTAAATATCTTGTCTTAGATGGTTTTTCTCCTATGATTATATTGCTACATTTTCATAGTGACAATGGAATGGAGTTTATGGAAGTGTTGTTAATGGCATGATATTTAGGAGATTTGATAATCTATTGCTTAGGATCTTCCTTTGATAGATTATTCTTGGATTCTATGTCATGTGCTTCTACTATGTGGTTAAGGGCTTGATAACTCTATGCTTAGTGAGTATGTCTAAGGTTACAACCTAGTTTAGGTAACCAAAACATGCAATGCTTTCATAGGTTATTCTTACCTATTGATTTCATAAATTTCTCGAAGGGAATGTAATAATTTGTGTTGTTGCATCCTATGGTTATACATATATGTTATTCCCCTAAGTAAATCATATCCTAGCATGCTTATTGATGGTTGTGGAGTCTCTTCCCTAGTCTCTTCTCTATTGTTCTATTTCATAATAAATTCCTTGCAAATTAGTGTTTTATGCACTTTGAATTCCTAATTTAAGTGACAACAAACAAAACCTTTATGAACACCCCCTCATCATTCTCGAAAGATTCTAGACACTAACGTTGCCGTAAGACTAGCGCAGTCGCAGTGGTTCGACTTACCCGACCAATAGCCCTATTTTACAATGATTCGTGCTATTGCGAAGGTTGATGTATAGCTGATCAACCGATCAATTTTTGGCGCCGTTGTCGGGGACTGCAAACGGTTTAGCGACCAAAGTTCTAGGGTTAATTTAGCTTGATTGTGCATATTGTGTTTTGTGAATATTTCTTGTGTGTTTTAACTATCTTTGTGTTGTAAGTGAGATCCTAGGGACTCGAAGCTCGCCGTGGGAATGCTAGCAAATTGTGAGTCTAGAGGACCCCAGGTAAGTCTCGTGACTTCTAGTTTCGAATTATGGATATTGTGCATGTGTTAAGCTTAGAAGTAGTTAATTTATTTGTGAAGCCCTTGTTGAGGCTATTTTTGTTTTACTATATTGCAAAGCATCGGTCCTTGTCATGGCCATTTATTTCCTATCTTGTTGATAATTGAGGAGAAAGGGATCATTGTATGTGGAGTTGATAATAAAGAATTATTGTGTTGATTATGTTGTGTGTTGTTGATGTTTAAGTCCTAGATGGAGGGTAGTTATCTTCCAACTCAATTCTACACACCACATGCGTTTTGTGCTTTTTGCTCTAGTAATACACATCATACAAGAGATTGTCTTCTAACGAGACAATTCTCGGATTTTTATCTAGAGCAACCAAATGCAAATTTCTCTGAACCGGGTAGTGATCCATACTTCAATGGTTATAACTCGGGTTGGGGAGACCAACAAAACTTCTTGTGGCATGAAATAGGAAATTCAACCCCACAATCTCATATGCAACCTTTTCAACCCAATGATCATTCTTTCCCGCCCTCTTCTCCTTGTCCACCGTCTCCATTGGATGAGCTAATTGTTGCTAACAAACAAATGATGGAGTCTATGCACACGCAAATGATGGACTCCAACAATCAACTATTGGCTTCCCTTGCTAGCATGCAATCCACAGTAGAGTCCATCAATCAAGTGGTACCAAATCACCAGTCCCAAGTTAGTGCAATGATAGATGACCAAATATCTCAAATTCAACAAAGGATTAATGCTAAAAATCATGAAGAGGAGGAAACATTTTCATTTGAATTTATGGCCAATCCAAAAGAAAATTCTATGAATGATGAGATTACTCCTAGTAACTTTCATCATGCGAATGATCAAGTGGTTATTACATGTGAAAATGATGAAATGGTGGTTGAAGATCAAATTGTTGCCCCACATCAAAATGAAGCAATTGTGGTTCAAAATGGGAAAAATAATGATGTAGAGATTGTCTACCCTACTCCTAAACAACCCCTAAATAATCCTTTACTTGATGCACCTCCTTCAATGGAGGATCCTCTAAAAGCTTGTTTGGCTCATTTCAATTATGAGGATTTTAATGTTGACAATTCTATTTCGGAGGTGAATTCTTTGCTTAATATTCCTCCACCCATTCACTCTCTTCCTTGGGCAGCATCAAATGTATCCTTCTCTTGGGAGCTTGCACCTCCTCTCATTCCTTTACTTGAGTTATCTCAAGCTATTGAGCCTGAGCCGCCAGATAAGTGTGAGGAGGATGTTGAAATTCTGAAGGATAATTGGTCGAGCATACCCGTGCTCAATATGGCCCTTCACAAGTCTTTGCTTGATGTGCCTTCATTTGATCCACCTTTCCCTAATCCAAATCAGCCCCATAGTCCAAAGTTCTTCATTGAGGATGAAGAGTGGATTGAGGTCTTTCCATTACCTCTTTCCAACTTTTGTCTTCAAGCTCTTTTCCTTCCGCTTCCAAAAGAACTTTCTTACTTAGGGAAGCTTGAATCTCTAGACAGACATGGTATATGGTAAGGAGGACTAATCGATCTCGGTGTGTCTAGCTATCGAGATTTTTGAGGATTAGTGCCTGCTCTAACTTCGTCTAGCTATCGACATTAAATTTAGCAACTCAAGGGAAGCAATTCTTTCAATTTCCAAGCTTCCTTCTCATTGAAATTGCTCGTGCCTTGCAAATTTTCTGGGAAACGGTTTAGAAAAGCCAAAAATTTGATTTTTCTTAGACCTTCTCAACTCTACTTTTCATTCCCGGAAGTCTCCATCGCTTTCTAGCAATTTCATTAGATTTTTCAAATGCGACTCATGTGCATATTTTCTCATTTTCAATGAAAAGTTTGAAAATTTTCTCAAAATTCTTCATGCATTTGAGATGATTAAAAAGTTAAAATATTGCAAGGTTTCAAAACAAAACTTTCAAAATTTCCCATGCATTGGAATAGAATGAATTTGCAAGTTTAAAATTTTCTCCAGAAATTTCATTCATGCATTGTGTGACGTTGCAAAGGTTTGAAAATTTTCTTACATCCACCCATGCTTTGTGTGATGTTCTGAAAGTTGGCAATTTTTCCATGCATTAGAAATTGCAAAGTTTGAAAAAAAAAAGAAAAGAAAAGAGAGAGAGTGCTTTCCAAATTTTCCATCCATTTGAATGAGAGGATGTTGCAACGTTTAAATTTTTCCCATACATTGGCTTGAATCCATCAACATTGCATGCATAGGAATTTCATGCTCCTCAAAAATTTTATCATGATCCGCAAAGTTCCTTGCTTGCATGCATTTCATGCATTTCTATATTTCATGCATGGTTGCATGCATTTCTCTGATGCATGCATTCCTCCCTATCCGAGCCCACTGCTCAAATTCTTTATGCTTCCATGTATTAATGATCTCATTCCTTGAACCATCCATGCAAGCTCATGCATGGCCATGCAACAGCATTCAAGCTCCATGCCGAGTGCTTTAGTTTTCAAGCTTCACTTTAATTTGGCTGCAATTTTTGAGCAATCCCATTCCCCATTTGAGTGCTCGCAGCTTTCAAAGCATCAATCCTAGCTCACTGCCTCAATTTAGAGCAATCCAATTTCCATGTGGAGTGCTTGAAATTCCTTACAGATGCAATCAAGGTTCAACACCAAAATTACGAGCTTACTGCCTTCATTTAGAGCACTCTAGCTCCCATTTGGAGTGCTCTAAATGTGAACCAATCTTGCATGCACTCACTGCCCAATTTTAGAGCACTCTAAATTCCATTTGGAGTGCTCTAAATTTTCAGCCCAACTTCCGCAGCTACTGCCTCAGAATCGAGCACTCGTAGGCCAAGCTTCGAGTGCTCGAAGCTTCACCATTTCCTTAGCCTGCTCGCTGCCTAATTGTCGAGCACTCTAGATCCCCTGTGGAGTGCTCGAAAATTGCCATTCCTCTCATCTCCAACCAAAGCTCCCACAACCAAAACCACCCTCTCATCAACCCAACTTTCTTCCTCATTTCTCTCAACCCAAGTAACCCCACACATCATGCAAGCACCCCTCGGCAAAACCAACCAACCCTCCCTAACCCCATAACCTCGCACACACAGCATTTTCTCTCTCTCTCCCCAACCATCCCAACACTCATCATACAACTCCTTTTCTCTCTCACCTCACCACCATCCCCTCATGCATGCCCATCATGCATGCTCTTCTCTCTCTCTCAACCAACATCACACACACCTCTCCATCCACTCTTCACCACCCGGCAGCTTCACCCTCACCACCATGCAATCTCCACTAACCCGTCCCTCTTAATTCATCCCACACTCCAAGCCACACCTCTCGGCCACCCTCTCATCACCCACAAACCATCCCCACTCTCGGCATCCACCCCCACACCAAACAACCTCACAGCCCACACAACACCACCCCAACCCTCATCTTCTCAAGCATGCAGCAGCAACCCACAACCCCATGCCTGCAACTCATCCACACTCCAAACCATCACCTACCTTCGGCACACCACCTTGCACACACTAAACTAACCCATCACCAAGCCACCACCCACAACTCCACATACCAACCCACCTCACAAACCATGCTCGAACTCCACTAACCTGCACACCTCTCACTCTCGGCAACCACCTCAACCATGCAAACCAAGCATCAACCAACCTCACAACACCCTACCCTCTCGGCATCCACTCCTATCTCCCTCCTTCAACCCATTCCACCATGCAACCTCAATCAAACACCAACACCACAATCTTCTCTCTTCTCCAACCCACAACCTCCTTTAACAGCATGCATGACATCCCTCTTAACCATCCCTCTCCCTACCAAGCCACACAACCATGCCCCCTCATCTCGGCAACTCCCATGTATGAACCCAAAACCAACCAACCTCCACCTTTTCTCTCTCTCATTCAACACACCCAATCACCAATCTCTCTATCTCATCCACCATGCAATCCTTATGCAACCCAAGCAACCCACACCTCATTTCCCTCAGCTTCCAACACCAACCCCACCCTCTCGGCATCTTGCATGCACCATCAACTTCCACCACCTCAACCCACAAACTAACCTCTCGGCAACCCCTCATCATCCTCAACCATGCATGCCTTCCACGGCCACCCTCCCAACACAATCACAACCATTCACATCAACACCATGCATACACCAACCAAACCGACCACCACCCCAACCTTCACCCCTCTCTCATTCACCAACCAACCCTCACACAAGCCTTCTCTCTCTCGGCATCTACACACACCAACACCATGCAACCCCCATGCATGCCCCTCTCGGCATCTTCTTTTTTCCCAACCATCCAACCAACCTCACCAAACTTCCTCACCTCACCCCACCATGCATGCCACCATCTCTCTCTCGGCACATTCACTCCCTAACCACCTACCATCCTTCACACTCAATCAACCCCACCTTCAATTCCTCCACAACACCCTCATGCATGCCATTCGAAAAAAAAAAAAAAATAGCACACTTTTGGCATTCTTTTGCTATCCATTTTACACTTGTGGCTAATGTCTGCATTTGTGTTTTGTTTGGATTTTTATCTTGCACTACAATTCAGGTTAGTGTTTTTAATTCTGTTTTGATTTTTCTTAAGAGCTTATGCTTTTACATGTGTATATTAGTTGTATTTTGATAGGTCTTCATATCCAAGTTTGGGGGACGCCGTTGCGCACTCACATGGCTGAACATCTACGTCGTCGTCACTCCACTTGGTATTATTGTTCCTTTCCCCCCTTTTTGCTCTTATTTTGATTTACTTGTCTTCTCACATTGAGGACAATATGACATTCAAGTTTGGGGGTGCATTTATGCATTTTTGGTTTCATAATTTTTGCTAAGCAATGATAGTATAACTTGGAACTTGTCGGAGACAAAACATATGTTTAATACCTTGTGTATAGAAGCAATGGACATTTTTGAAAATAAAGAAAAATTTGAGTTGAAATGATCATGTGGATTCAAATTAGTCTGTATAAATGTCTCAATTAGATTCTTGCTGGATTTGACACTCTTTTAAGCTTCACAATGCACAGATGCACATTGGAAACTTAACTGTGAGGCATGCAACTTAATCGACCTTGACCTTGGCCTAGTTAATCTGATTTGATGAACCTAATAGATGAATATCTTTGGCATGATTTAAGTTGTCTAAAAAAAATAAAAATAAAAAAAAACACTGAGAAAGAAAGAAAAAATGACCAGTTGACGTTCGTAGCCTTTCCAACTCGAGCTATTAAGCCCTTTGGAGTGTCTCTTCACTTAACACCCTGAAGCCATCTGGTTTGGGAGTTGTTGGCCTAACGCTTGCTACAAGGGTTGGTTAAAAAGCTTAAAGGACTTTAACATTGCACGGTCAGTCAAAAAAATTGTAATAAACATGGTTCGCTAGAGTTCGTAGCCTTTCCAACTTGAGCTATTAAGCCCTTTGGAGTGTCTTTACACTTAACACCCTAAAGCCATCTGGTTTGGGAGTTGTTGGCCTAACGCTTGCTACATAGGTTGGTTAGAAAGCTTAAGGGACTTCAGCATTGCACAACCATCTTATGTTTCACTTCTGAGTTACAATAAATTGTCAACAAGCAACAAAAGTTGTCTTGTAAATAAAATCATGCCTTAGGGACCTCATTTAAAAGGGAATTCAATGATTTGAAAACTTGTGCTTTGGAATTGGAAAAGAAAGTAAAAGCCGCATGTTGAGAATCCAATTCACTTTCACTGAAGTTAGAGTTGATTTTCATTCAAGAGATGATAATTGAGTTATTTATATAGTTTATGATGTTGATACATACATGTTGAAATGTGTTTAGTATCAATGCTTCATAAATGCAAGGTAGTCTTCCCAATGACCCCATCTCCAGTTCTTTGTTGTTTCAAATTGTATTTGAGCTATGTTTGCACTTCATTTCACCATGGATGATATTTTTGTGGTAGCATGCCCATGGTTGTATTTTCATTGAAGTATTCATTTTGGTTTTGCTAAGGGACTAGCAAAATGTAAGTTTGGGGGTGTGATAATCGCCGAATATTGCATATTCAAGCGCCCTTAATTGCATTATTTAAGTTCATTGTTTGTTTAATTATGTAGATTACCTTCATATGCACGTTTTTGCGTATTTTCAGGTTCATTGGCCAAAAAGAAGCAAGAAGGATGCTTTGTGGAGTTTTGAACATCAAAGGTCACAATGCTGAATTTCTGGCAGCAGTGGAACCTGGACTTTTCTCGCCATTTTGACCTTAAAAACTCGAGAACTGGACTTCCCTCATAACATGACATATTTAGAGCTCTGAATCAGCTTTCCAAATCTTTAAGCGGTTAATCATTTAGAGTTTGGAGCAGAGAGTTATGATCTTCTTATCATAGGTGCTCAGAACTGCCTGGCAGCAATGAATTTCTGCCTTGCTCTTCAATTTCGACCAACCATCCTTGAGAATTGGATCTCCACCAAAACATAAAGTTTTTAGAGCTCTGAATTAGCTTTCCAAATATTCAAACGGTTCATCATTTGGAGTTCAGAGCGCAAAGTTATGGCCGTTTTACCAAAGTAGGTCTGGGCGGAGCAAACCAAGCATAAGGCATTCTGGCCAATTTTCGAGTGCTCAAGGCCTTATTTCGAGTGCTCGAAATTAGGGCAGATTGCTTCACGAGATCAGCAGTGGAGTTAGGACTTTGCTCGCCATTTTGACCCAAAAAGCTCGAGAAATGGACTTCTGTCATAACATGAAAGATTTAGAGCTCTGAATTAGCTTTCTAAATCTTCAAATGGTTCATCATTCGGAGCTCGGAACAGAGAGTTATAGCCTTGTTACCAGAGGTGCGCAGAACTGCCTGGCAGCACTGAAGTACTGTCTTTCTCCCCATTTTCGACCAATCAGACTTAAGATTTGGGTCTTCATCAAAACATAAAGTTTTTAAAGCTCTGAATCAGCTCTCTAAATCTTTAAACGGTTCGTCATTCGGAGTTCGGAGCGCAAAGTTATGGCCATTTCATCAAAGTAGGTCTGGGCGGAGTAAGTGAAGCATGGAGCTTTTTACACTAAATTCGAGTGCTCGAGGCCCTATTTCGAGCACTCAAAATTTGGGCAGTTTGCTCCACGAGACAGCCCACTTGTGCTCTGAAATTTCCAACTTTGGATTTCCCTATTAATGAGGTGGTTGGGGATGTTTTTTGGAGGAGAGAGAGGGTTTTGTTGGAGGACAAAAGGCAACCAAAGGCCACATATTTCATATCCTTTAATTTTTGCAAGATAGAGGAGAGAGAAGAGAGCAAAGAGGAGGAGTTCTTGAAGCTTCAAGGAGGAAGCTCAAAAATGGAGGGGAAAGCCTTGCTTCTTCCTTCATCTAGGGCCACCATGGGTAACTAAACCTCCTCTAGGGAGGTGATGAAACTCCATTTTTGTAAGCTTTGCTTTGTTTTGATTTATATTTGGGGGTTAATATATGTATGTAATCCTTCCATGAACTAGAGCTCTTTATTTGATGTAATGAACTTCAATACCTATACATAATCATCTTGAGTTAAATATCTTGTCTTAGATGGTTTTTCTCCTATGATTATATTGCTACATTTTCATAGTGACAATGGAATGGAGTTTATGGAAGTGTTGTTAATGGCATGATATTTAGGAGATTTGATAATCTATTGCTTAGGATCTTCCTTTGATAGATTATTCTTGGATTCTATGTCATGTGCTTCTACTATGTGATTAAGGGCTTGATAACTCTATGCTTAGTGAGTATGTCTAAGGTTACAACCTAGTTTAGGTAACCAAAACATGCAATGCTTTGATAGGTTATTCTTACCTATTGATTTCATAAATTTCTTGAAGGGAATGTAATAATTTGTGTTGTTGCATCCTATGGTTATACATATATGTTATTCCCCTAAGTAAATCATATCCTAGCATGCTTATTGATGGTTGTGGAGTCTCTTCCCTAGTCTCTTCTCTATTGTTCTATTTCATCCTAAATTCCTTGCAAATTAGTGTTTTATGCACTTTGAATTCCTAATTTAAGTGACAACAAACAAAACCTTTATGAACACCCCTTCATCATTCTAGAAAGATTCTAGACACTAAGGTTGCCGTAAGACTAGCGCAGTCGCAGTGGTTCGACTTACCCGACCAATAGCCCTATTTTACAATGATTCGTGCTATTGCGAAGGTTGATGTATAGTTGATCAACCGATCAGCAACCTCAAGGACAGGCACCGCAGCAGTTACATTATGGCAGGGTGTACAACCCCATGCCACAGAATATGCAGGCACCTCAGGCTGTTGAGGGTAAATTTCCTATTCATGGTTTACTTGGACGTGTTTTATTTGATGCGGGTGCTACACACTCATTTGTAGCTAGGTCATTTGTTGTTTTGTCTGGGATGATGACTCGGGTATGCAGTAGACCACATGGAATTTCTACACCATTAGGCAATACAGCCATTCTTCATGAGAGTGATGGGCCTGTGACACTAGATATTGGTAGACTCAGATTTTTAGCTAATCTATTGGTCATGAACATGCACACTTATGACGTGATACTTGGGATGGATTGGTTATCGCATTACCATGCCCAAGTTAATTGTTATGATAGGTCAGTTGTTTTTACCATACCCGGTCAAGACATGTACGTCGTCGCTATGCCGCGTTCTAAGGGGGTCACTAGCACATATTTGTTTCATATGGAGGAGGAAACAAAGGAGGGGACTACTGTATTATTGGATAACATACCAATTGTACATGATTACCCAGATGTATTTCAGGAGATTCCAGGGTTGCCGCCTAGTCGCGAGATCGACTTTGTGATAGACTTAGCTCCAGGCACAACGCCTATTGCTAGTGCACCGTATAGGATGGCACCAGTGGAGATGCGCGAGCTAAGGGATCAGATTCAACAGCTACTCAGCTAGGGTTTCATTCACAGGAGTACTTCACCCTTGGGAGCACCGGTTTTATTTGTGAAGAAGAAGGATGGTTCGCACCGCTTGTGTATAGATTATAGGGAGTTGAACAAGTTTACTATTCGTAACAAGTATCCTTTGCCCAGGATTGATGACTTGTTTGATCAGTTGAATGGAGCTACTTATTTCTCTAAGATTGATCTGC